GAGGGCGGGGGGAGAGGAAGATATAACAACTACAATTTTTTTGAAGTTCTTACAACAAGCAAATGGAAAGGACATGCTTGTGTGGGAGGGGGGAGAGGGAGGTTTCGGTGATGGGACATAATAATCAACTACATTGTATATTGACAAAATAAAAATTAAAAAAAATTTTGTTTTTAATTAAAAAAAATAAAAATTCTCCTGGGATTGCTCATGGCATTAATATGTTAAGTGTAATTTTGGTGAAAATTGATCTTTACATTATTTAGTCTTTCCATTCAAGAACAAGAATGATTTGTTAAATGAATGGCCAAATTTTAGATGCAAGACAGCATAATGTGGGAGATATAAGTCCTGAAATTTCAACTTCTGCCAAAATGTGACTGGTCTCTTGGAAATTCAAGTTATTCTATAGGAACTAAGGAGAGCATTTCAAGAATGTGGGAGGAAAGCCACTCAGTCTTCATAGTCCTTTTAATAAAAATACTCCTAACTAAAAACAAAGTTATTTGGTGTGTGTGTGTGTGTGTGTGTATAGAGAGAGAGAGAGCTGGATGGAAGTTTGGAGCATGGACAAGAAAAATGAACATGGGTATAGATGTAAATTATTGGGAATGTTCCAATTTTGGGGTTGGATAGTGAGTTCTCAGGTCTTAATTATACCCAGAAATATAAACAAACTAATTTAAAATAAATGTGAGGGCCATGCATGGCTTAATGTTGATAGCATATCATGAACTAAGGATTATGATTAATCCAGTTCTGTGTACCACCAGTTTTTAAAATAATTTTTACAATGCTAATAGTAAACATGTTGTATTATTGTAGGTGTTTTTATGTATTAATTCACTTACTTCTATTAACAGCTCTGTGAAATAGGTATTACCTTCATTTTATACACCAGGAGACAGACACAAAGAGTTTGAGTAACTTGTCCCCATGGTTCCACAATTCATAATTGGTAGTCAGGATTCAGACCTAGCCTGTACTCTTTTTTTTTAAATTTTTTAATTTTTAATTTTTAATTTTTAATTTTTATTTTGTCAATATACAATGTAGTTAGTTATTGTGTTCTATCACCAAAACCTCCCTCCCTCCTCCCTCTCCCCCTCCCACCCAGATGTGTCCCCTCCATTTTCTCGTTGTAAGAGCTTCAAAAAAAAAAAAAA